TATATATATATCTTAAAAAAATCTTCACTGTATAACTATATGATGCATATTTGCAGTTCAGGAAGAAAGGTGTAACCTTTTTCCCAAGAGTCTGGTTTGCAATGATCTATAATATGACTGCAGTTTTTATTAGAAGGATAATTATTAGGGCCCAGCTGTAGCCTTTTTAAAAATGACTGTTAAGAGCTAGATTGAGGTGCTGCTAGTAGCGTCATTTCTAATTCATGAATCAAAGAGTATTAACAAGTACACAAGTCCCCAAATCAGGTATAGGCAACCTGTCTCTCCATATGGTATGGAGCTGTCCTGAACAAGTGCTGCCAGAAAAAAACAGGGAATGACAGGACACACTAAAAGTTCCACTAAATGCTTCTGCTATGTTATAGTCTGATTAACAAATTGCTCTCCTGAGAAAAGAAGTGATGTAATTGATAAATGTCTATTTAGACTAAACCTAAAATTTTAAGTATATGTTTTTATTTTCTTTGATTATTTTTGAATTGCGTTTTAATGAACATTTGTACATACACAGCATCATGCTGGCTAATGTATTGATGGGTATATTTATGGTACTTAAAGCAAATCTGTCACTTGCGAAAGAATGCATAGACATTCAACATTTAAATTATTAGTCAAAGTAAAATTTTTCTCCAAGGCCATTATCATCCGGATAATTCTTCTCACACTGTAACAATGCATTCTTTGTGGTGCGGACGTGATAAATATGAACTATGCCCAGAGACAGAGCAACATCGAGAGTGCCAGTTCTGTACATCTTCTTTCAGCTGATAGGCTGGAGATTTAAATAAAGGGTACTTAGACCTCTGATGCTATTGGTGATTACCCAACAACATCGGCATAAACTTAAAATAAAGTGATTTCTGCATCGTTTCACCCTTCTATACAACACAGCTACTGTCTTTTTAGTGACAGGTTCACTTTAAGTACCATACTGGAAAAAATGAAGTCATGGTGCAACATCTGTCTATAATCTTTAACTTTTACAAACCAGCTGTACAATTTTAGCCTCATTGTATGCTCAACTAAAACTGTTCTTCTCTTTTCCAGCATTTTTTTGTCGAGTTTATAAAGCAGACCATTGTAAAATCAGTATTACATTCTTTATGCTGTTGTAAAACGTAATGGTGTTTTTGGGCGTAGCCTTTTGCTACCTACAAAAACAGATGATTATCATTTCTAAGTGTTGCTCTTGTCTTCACTCAGTGTCACAATTTAAAATGATGGGTTATTCCTACGATGATGACCTGGAGGAGATGTGTCCAGTCTGCGGGGACAAAGTATCTGGATATCATTATGGACTGCTGACCTGCGAGAGTTGCAAGGTGCGTAGTGATGAATGTCGGCATTTGCATGCAGAGTTACAATTTAAAAAAGATGCTTAACTGTGTCATTACTCATTATTGTTTAACTGCACTGCTATTGATTATATTTTACTTTTAATTTAGAGGTAATGTAAACTTACAAAGTTTATATGTGTATAGAAAAAGATACTGCCAACCAATTGGAAAATCTAAATAAATTACAAAAAAATAATAATATATATACATATGTATATA